AAAAACGCTAAGGGCAGCCAGAGAGAAAGGCCAGGTCACCCACAGAGGGAAGCCCATCAGACTCACAGCAGATCTCTCTGCAGAAACCCTACAAGCCAGAAGAGAGTGGTGGCCAATATTCAACATCCTTAAAGAAAAGAACTTTCAACCCAAAATCTCATATCCAGCCAAACTAAGCTTCGTAAGTGAAGGAGAAATAAAATCCTTTACGGACAAGGAATTGTTGAGAGATTTTGTCACCACCAGACCTGCCCTACGAGAGCTCCTGAGAGAAACACTAAGCATGGAAAGGAACAAGTACCAGTCACTGCAAAAGCAAACCAGTTGGCAAAGACCAAAAATGCAATGAAGAAAACGAGGCAACTAATGGGAAGGAAAACCAGTCAGTAACAAAATGGCAGAATCAAATCACATATAGCAATATTAACATTGAAAGTAAATGGCCTAAATGCTCCAATCAAAAGACACAGACTGGCAAACTGGATAAAAAGTCAGAACCCATCAGTGTGCTGTATTCCGGAAACCCATCTCACATACAAAGACACACATAGACTCAAAATAAAGGGATAGAAGAAGATTTACGAAGCAAATGGAAAACAAAAAAAAGCAGGGGTTGTAATCCTAGTCTCTGATAAAATGGACTTCAACAAAGATCAAAAGAGACAAAGAAGGACACTACATTATGGTAAAAGAATCAATCCAACAGGAAGAGTTAAGTACCCTAAATACATACGTCCCCAACACAGGAGCACCCAGATACATGAAGCAAGTTCTTAATGACCTGAAACAAGATTTAGACTCCCACACAATAATAGTGGGAAACTTCAACACTCCACTGTCAATATTAGATAAACGAGCAGAAAATTAACAAGGATATCCAGGACTTGAATGCAGAGCTGGACCAAGTGGACCTAATACACATATATAGAACACTCCACCCCAAATCCACAGAATATACATTTTTCTCAGCACCAAATTGCACATATTCTAAAATTGACCATATCATTGGAAGCAAATCACCCCTCAGCAAATGCAAAAGAACAGAAATCATAACAAACAGTCTATCAGACCACAGCGCAGTCAGAATAGGACTCAGGATCAAGAAACACACACAAACCCACACAACCACTTGGAAACTGAATAACCTGTTTCTGAGTGTCAACTGGAAACTGTCTCAAAAAAAAAAAAGAAATACTAGACTTCCATAGAATCAACCCAAACGCTCACAAATGATAGATTGGACAAAGAAAATGTGGTACATGTACACCATGGAATACTACGCAGCCATAAAAAACAAGTTTGTGTCCTTTGTAGGGACTTGGATGAATCTGGAAACCATCATTCTCAGCGAACTAATATAAGAACAGAAAGCCAGCCGGGCGCGGTGGCTCAAGCCTGTAATCCCAGCACTTTGGGAGGCTGAGGCGGGTGGATCACAAGGTCAAGAGATCGAGACCATCCTGGTCAACATGGTGAAACCCCGTCTCTACTAAAAATACAGAAAATTAGCTGGGCATGGTGGCGCGTGCCTGTAATACCAGCTACTCAGGAGGTTGAGACAGGAGAATTGCCTGAACCCAGGAGGCGGAGGTTGCGGTGAGCCGAGATCACGCCATTGCACTCCAGCCTGGGTAACAAGAGTGAAACTCCGTCTCAAAAAAAAAAAGAACAGAAAGCCAAACACCGTATGTTCTCACTCATAGGTGAGTATTGAACAACGAGAACATGTGGACTCAGGGAGAGGAGCATCACACACTGGGGGCAGTTGAGGGGGGTAGGGAGAGACAGCAGGGGATGGGAAGGGAGGGGAGGATGGGGAGGGATAACATGGGGAGAAATGCCAGATATAGGATGCACCTAAAGTAAATAAATTAAAAATATATATATATATGTATATACTTAATGCTTACAATATCCTATGAGATAGATATTCTTTTTTTTTTTTTTTTTTTTTTTTTTTTTTGAGACGGAGTTTCGCTCTTGTTACCCAGGCTGGAGTGCAATGGCACGATCTTGGCTCACCGCAACCTCCGCCTCCTGGGTTCAGGCAATTCTCCTGCCTCTGCCTACTGAGTAGCTGGGATTACAGGCATGTGCCACCATGCCCAGCTAATTTTTTTGTATTTTTAGTAGAGACGGGGTTTCACCATGTTGACCAGGATGGTCTCGATCTCTCGACCTTGTGATCCACCCGCCTTGGCCTCCCAAAGTGCTGGGATTACAGGCTTGAGCCACCGCGCCCGGCCGATATTCTTCTTATGTATGAAAATGTCTTTATTTCACCTTTGCTCCTCAATAATAGTTCGGCTGGTGAAAGAATTCTAGGTTTGCAATCATTTTCCCATAGAACCTTAAAGGTAATACTACAAAATATCAATCTTATTTTTTCCTTTGTAGGTAATCTGAGTTATCTTTCTAACAGCTTTTTTAACTTTTTTCTTTTTCTTTTGTTAGTAGGTATGAATTTTTAAAGGCTCATCCTGGTTGATACTCAGTGGAATTTTTCAGTGTGAAGGCTAATATCTTTCTTAGTTCTGGCGAGTTCTCAGCCATTATCTTTTCTTGCATTGCTTCTCTACCATTTTTCCTGTACTCATGTCCTAGCCCCCACAGCTCTTCCTTTTCTTTTATCTTGTTCTACCACTATATGTTGCATTCTGGAATATGTGTTCATTTAATCTGCCATTTCGTTAATTTGCTCTTCAGCTCTATTTTAATATTGAGTTCATTTTACTTCAAACTTTAGAGGTTTCCTCCCCCTTGACTCCAGGTCATGACTTTTTCATGACTCCCATTCTTGTTTTGGTGTTGCTATTTCCCCTTATTCTTCTGAGAATATAGAAATCACTTCCTAAGTCCTTTTCAGGTTGCTCAATTTTGTTTACTCAAAAATTGATTCTTCCATTCCCTTTATTTTTTGTGGGTTACTCTTGGTGTCTCTGTTCCTTGGGTGCTTTGGAGTTCACGAGTGGAGATGAGCTGCAGGTTTCTCTCATAAGGATTCTGGTCAGTAAGCAGCCTTGACCTACAAGAGGGGCTCCTACCTAACCTCATTCTTTACAGCCCTGCTCATGACCACCAGGTGAGGAGTCCAAGGCCCCATGCCCACCTGGAGCTATCTCCATGCTTAGATGTCCTGGAAATCCTTGTACAAATGGCCCTGAGCCTGCTTCCGAAGTCTCCATGAGCCTCTTCACAAGATTCAGATTCCTGAAGGCATAACATATGCTGCTGTGTTTACCCTTAAGCCCAAGGTGGAGCCAAATGGCAGCTGTTCGTAGGATGTGTGAAGAGAGTTTGGGAAGAAGAGCTGGAGTAATCATGGGCATGCATGACGGGCCCTCAGATGTAGAGCAGAGCAATGGTGAGGAAAGCAAACGGCAGGCCGCAGTAGGCTCTCGCCTTGCTGCCGCATTACAACATGGAATCCTAGGAGTCTAAGAATTCCAATTTAAACTTGTCCTTTCAACTTGTTATAAAGATGTTCGTGGGGAAAAAAAGTATTTTACTTAACAGATATTAGCTTGCATTAATAATTTTAAAATATCTATGGCATGGTATGTGGGCCTCCCTTAGAGTCCTGGGTCCCATAGATGGTAGGAGTAGGCCTGGCTCAAAGAGGCTTTTATTGACACTTCAACCTCAGTTCTGCTTATGACAGTGTATCAGATGAGGGTTTTTTTTTTGCCTAGTGAAGCATTTCTGAGCCTCTGCCTGGCTCTTGTCCTTCCGCAGTTTATTGCCAAGTCCCTATCACACCAAGAGGTAAAGTCCAAGGCCACAGGCAGGAATGCCTGACTCCCCTCTGGCTATAATCTTCATTGGGCAGACACCAGGCTTCAGCAACACCTGTGTGCAAGAGAAAGGCATTGGCCCCTCCAGTTCAGACAGGTGCCTTGGATCTGGTTCCCGCCATTCACAGCTCCTGCTCACCACCAAAGGTCCCCAGCTACTTCCTTTCTTTAGGAAAAAGTCTCCATTTCTACATTATGAATATTTACTTTCTTGCTTTTAAGTGTGACTGTATGTTTATTAATTTTTTTCCTGTACTTTTTATGCCTTCAGAGCAGAAAGGGAAGCTTTCAGCAAATTTTTAATTTGCCTTCTAGGCCTGAAAGTACAGCCTCTGCTTTAAAGTATGGGTGTTGAGAATGTGTAATCTGGATTCATAAGTGAGCCAGGGAACAAGAATCAAAACTAGAGTCCAGATATGAACATCTTCTTTGCCTGGGGTGCAGATTTGGTCACAGCTATCCATTACAATGGGAGGTGGGAGGGAAGTAATCTCATTTAAAAATCATTACAGTGTACCAGCTATCTCTATGTCCTTGGAGGAGTTAGTTAACCTGGTTAGTTAACTCTGGTTCTCAGTTTCCCGCTATTAATACAACTGAATCAGATAAGCTAATTTCTAATAATTTCTAAAGGTACTTTCACTTATTTGTTTTATAGGTTCACATAATATAGGCTTAGATGAGATTTTATTACATTCTAAGAGTTAATTTCTGAGACTGAAAGATAGTATTTCAGAGATAGTATCAAATCATCTAAATCATCTAATAAAGTTTATAAGGGAGCTTTGATAAATTAAGATATTTTGGCAAATTAAGATAATATCACATACATAGGAATGTGCATTCAGTATTACACACTCAAAACAGGCTTATGTGTAAAGAAATATGACTGGTCAATGAAAAGGAGGTGATTCACTAGAAGAGAGAAATGAGAGGACATAGGTGAGTAGTCAGCAAAGAACTGCAATATTAAGCTGAAATATTCAGCTTCATAAATAGAGCACAATAAAAGTACTTACAATAAAAAGACAGTATCTCTATTTGGCCAGAAGTATCAGAAAAATTATGAGTCTATGAAGTTACTGTACTAAGACACTTTCTATAGCAACACTGTAAACCACAATTGCCTGTACATGAGCCATTTCAAAAGCATGCATGGTTATCAGCACTGTTATCTACCAAAAGTCAGGAGATTTACCAACTCACCCCAAGTAAGAGTAGCCAGGGTCAAGAGCTCTGGGATTGAGTCCTGATATACTACATATTCTGGAGAGTATGGATCTGTTTGAACATCAGCATCCCGATAATCAGTCTGAGTGCCCACAGTAGACTTTGAAGGGATGTATAGGTGCTTAGTAGAAGTAGGACGAAAAGTATATGGTTCTGCCCTAAAAGGGAAAAATTAGTTTAAAAATTAAAACCTGTTATGATCACTTAAAATATTACATAATTAAGTAGAAATAAATCTTGGGAGCTTCGTCAAGTCCATTCCTCCTTTAAATGTTGACAGGTAAAAAGTTATGAATCAGGCCAGGCGCGGTGGCTCAAGCCTATTATCCCAGCACTTTGGGAGGCCGAGGCAGGTGGATCACGAGGTCAAGAGATCGAGACCATCCTGGTCAACATGGTGAAACCCCGTCTCTACTAAAAATACGAAACATTAGCTGGGCATAGTGGCGCATGGCTGAGGCAGGAGAATTGCCTGAACCCAGGAGGCGAAGGTTGTGGTGAGCCGAAATCACGCCATTGCACTCCAGCCTGGGTAACAAGAGTGAAACTCCGTCTCAAAAAAAAAAAAAAAAGTTATGAACCCATTATAACCAGAATTATGCCCCCAAATCTTGAGAGAATTGCCTTGTTATTCTCACCTCTGCCAAGAAACTGAGTGGGTTTAAGTACCATGATTGACTCACAGAAGTGCTTATTTATGTGTGTGTCGCTGGGCAAGGTTGTAGAATAGAGCTATTCTAGAATGCTGTGCAGTACTTCTGGACCTATTCAGAATTACTACATTCTCTGGTTTCTTTCTTCTCTGTTTTAGTTAGACACTCAATCTCTGTTTCCCTCCAGAAATACAGGATCAGAGAAAAGAGAAGAGATGCTTTCTGTGGAAAGAAAGGAAGAGAAAAAGGAAGGACAGAAGGAATGAAGGCAGGCAAGCAAGCAGGCAGACAGGCTCTATCTGAATAAATGATTCAATAATTAATGGGGGGTCACTTTGTTATTAAGATGTGAAAAAGTTACCTTGCCTCTTGCACAAAAATTAATTCCAGATCTTCTTTTTTGAGGCGGAGTTTCGCTCGTTACCCAGGCTGGAGTGCAATGACGCGATCTCGGCTCATCGCAACCTCCACCTCCCAGGTTCAGGCAATTCTCCTGTCTCAGCCTCCTGAGTAGCTAGGATCACAGGCACGTGCCACCATGCCCAGCTAATTTTTTGTATTTTTAGTAGAGACGGGGTTTCACCATGTTGACCAGGATGGTCTCGATCTCTTGACCTCGTGATCCATCCACCTCAGCCTCCCAAAGTGCTGGGATTACAGGCTTGAGCCACCGTGCCCCGCCAATTCCAGATCTTTAAAAAATTAATGTAAAAATAAGACTATAAAAGTACTAACAGAAAACATAAGTCAATATTTATATCACCTTTGAGTGAAGGTCTTTTTAAGCCTGGCCCAAAAGCCAGAAACTATAAAAGGAGATGATCAATAGAATTGAGGGTTAAGTTTCAACTTCTATGCCTCAAAATATCACAAACAAATTTAAAAGGTGAATGGCAAACTAAGAAATAGGTTTTGCAACATATATAATAAAAAGTTTAAATAGTCCTTCTACATAAAAACCTCTTGTAATTCAATTAGGCAATTAAATGCCCCATGGAAAAATGAGTAAAGAAGAATTGATAAAACAAAAAGTAAAACTTTTTTTTTTTTTTTTTTTTTTTTTTTTAAATAAAGACAGGGTTTCACCACTTTGGTCAGGCTGGTCTTGAACTCCCGACCTCAGGTGATCCGCCCGCCTTGGCCTCCAAAGTGCTTGGATTACAGGCGTGAGCCACCACGTCCGGCCCAAAAAGTAAAACTTCTAACAAACATGTAAGAAGATAATGAAGATAACTAGTAATCAAAGAAAAGTAAATTAAAACAGCAAGATACTATCTGATGCTATTTTATCAAATAAGCAAAGATTTAAAAGATTGAAAGTACCTAGCATTGATTATTTTGTGACGAAACAGGCATTCTCATAAACTGTTGATGGAAATACAAATAGTTACACCTAACTGACAAGTAATCTATCAATATATAACAAACCCTTAAAATACCCTTTGATCCAGCATTTTTATTCCTAGCAATTTACTCTAGAAAATAACTGGACAGTTGTACAAAGATATATATGTAAACATATTCATAAAGTTTCATTTAGAAGAGTGAAAAATTAGAAACTTAAATAATCACATCAACACAAGAATTGTTTTAAAAAATGGCACACCCATAATGGAACGTATGCAGCTATTCAAAGTAATAATGTAATCTATACTTGTGAGCATTCAAAAATGTCCATGATTCATTGTAAAGTAGAAAAAAAATGACACTATTAAGTGGTAGGTATAGGATTCCATTTTTACATTTCAAAACTGTATTTTGTGCATAGAAAATGCCCATATATATATATACATATATATATATATAACAAAATAATAGTAATTATTTCTAGATAGAATTATACAGATAATTTTTTCATCTTTATACTTTTCTGAATCTTCTTTTTTAAAATGTATATGCATTGCATCTAGAATAAGAGTAAAACCAATATAGCTACTTTGACTTAAAAGACATTTTTTTTAAATTGGTAGAATTGGTTAAATTATATAAATAACTAAAGATGAAGGCAAAAATGGAGAGATAGTTCTATTTTGAAAAACAGAGGCAACGGTAAATGCTTATACACAAGCACAGCAAATACATACACCAAAGATACTTTTTGAAAAAAAAAAAAAGAAAAGGACCAAGTGTGGTGGCTTACACCTGTAATCTCAGCACTTTGGGAGGCTGAGGAGGGTAGACCACGAGGTCAGGAGTTTGAGACCAGCCTGGCCAACATGGTGAAACCCCATCTCTACGAAAGATACAAAAAATTGGCCAGGTGCGGTGGCTAAAGCCTGTAATCCCAGCACTTTGGGAGGCCGAGGCGGGTGGATCACAAGGTCAAGAGATCGAGACCATCCTGGTCAACATGGTGAAACCCCATCTCTACTAAAAATACAAAAAAATTAGCTGGGCATGGTGGCATGTGCCCATAATCCCAGCTACTCAGGAGGCTGAGGCAGGAGAATTGCCTGAACCCAGGAGGCGGAGGTTGTAGTGAGCCAAGATCGTGCCATTGCACTCCAGCCTGGGTAACAAGAGTGAAACTCCGTCTCAAAAAAAAAAAAGATACAAAAAATTAGCCGGGTGTAGAGGCATGCTTCTGTAATCCCAGCTACTCAGGAGGCTGAAGCAGGAGAACTGCTTAAACCCAGGAGGTGGAGGTTGCAGTGGGCTGAGATCACACCATTGCACTCCAGCCTAGGCTACAGGGCAAGACTCCATTTCAAACAAATAAACAAACAAACAAACAACAAAGAAAAAAACCATTTCAAGCAGTTAGAAACAAACACCTATTTGGAAGTTCAACCTGTAATGGAGTAAGTATTTTAAATAGTTTTTTTAAAAAAATACTATTATACTTTAAGTTCTGGGGTACATGTGCAGAACGTGCAGGTTTGTTACATAGGTTTACACGTGCCATGGTGGTTTGCTGCATCCATCACCCCATCATCTACATTAGGTATTTCTCCTAATGCTATCCCTCCCCTATCACCCCACATCCTCCTATCCCTCCCCTAGCTCCCCCACCCCTCAACAGGCCCCAGTGTGTGATCCCCTCCCCGTGTCCATGTGTTCTCATTGCTCAACACCTAATTGTGACTGAGAAGATGCGGTGTTTGGTTTTCTATTTTTGTGTCAGTTTGCTGAGAATGATGGTTTCTAGCTTCATCCATGTCCCTGCAAAGGACATGAACTCATCCTTTTTTATGGCTGCATAATATTCTATGGTAGATACGTGCCACATTTTCTTTATCTAGTCTGTCATTGATGGGCACTTGAGTTAGTTCCAAGTCTTTGCTATTGTGAACAGTGCCACAATAAACATACGTGTGCATGTGTCTTTATAATAGAATGGTTTATGATCCTTTGGGTATATACCCAGTAATGGGATTGCTGGGTCAAATGGTATTTCTAGTTCTAGAAATACCATTCCTCTAGTTCCTTGAGGAATCGCCAAATTGTTTTCTACAATGGTTGAAATAATTTACACTCCCACTAACAGTGTAAAAATGTTCCTATTTCTCCACATCCTCTCCAGCATCTGTTGTCTCCTGATTTTTTAAAATCACCATTCTTTTTTTTTTTTTTTTTGAGATGGAGTTTCACTCTTGTTACCCAGGCTGGAGTGCAATGGCGCGATCTCGGCTCACCGCAACCTCCGCCTCCCGGGTTCAGGCAATTCTCCTGCCTCAGCCTCCTGAGTAGCTGGGATTACAGGCACGCGCCACCATGCCCAGCTATTTTTTGTATTTTTAGTAGAGACGGGGTTTCACCATGTTGACCAGGATGGTCTCGATCTCTTGACCTCGTGATCCACCCGCCTCGGCCTCCCAAAGTGCTGGGATTACAGGCGTGAGCCACCGCGCCCGGCCTAAAATCACCATTCTAACTGGTGTGAGATGGTATCTCATTGTGGTTTTGATTTGTGTATTTCTCTAATGACCAGTGATGATCAGCTTTTTTCATGTTTGTTGGCCACATAAATGTCTTCTTTTGAGAAGTGTCTGTTCATATCCTTTGCCCACTTTTTAATGGGGTTATTTTTTTCTTGTAAATTTGTTTAAGTTCTTTGTAGATTCTGAGTATTTTTGTTTTGTTTTGTTTTGTTTGAAATGGAGTCTCATTCTGTCACCCAGGCTAGAGTGCAGTGGCACGATCTCAGCTCACTGCAACCTCTGCCTCCCAGGCTCAAGTGATTGTCCTGCCTCAGTCTCCAAAGTACCTGGGATTACAGGTGCCCATCACTTTTGTATCTTCAGTAGAGACAGGGTCTCAGCATGTTGGCCAGGCTGGTCTCAAACTCCTGACCTCAAGTGATCTGCCTGCCTTGACCTTCCAAAGTGCTAGGATTACAGGCATGAGCCACCGCACCCAGCCATTAGTTTTTTATGCTGCACTGTAACTGCTTTTGAAATCACTTTCCAGTAGTTGCTGTACATTTCTAACATGTAGACAGCATACGGCTTCTTATGTTTTCAGTAGAAATTATTCTACTATAAAATTCTAGTTGAGGAAATAAATTCAAATCCATTTTATGTCATCCTAAGTTACATGAAGTTTTATTATATTAGTGCACCATTATCTTGAATAAAGAGAATAAATTATCTTTTTCTCAAATTAAATAATCACACATTTGAACCATCTGATCAAATGTGCTTTATAATAAGACCTAATAAACTCTTCTGATGTAAGTTTCCGGCTTTGTATCTTTCCAGGTGGATCAGAGAATAGAATGCAAAAGAGGAAAGCTACTTTGAACTCTTCCAGTAACTTAATACATGGTTTCTTAACTAATTTCTTAATTTTTCCAAACTATTTTTCCCTGTTTCAGTTGGCTTTAGGGGAAAGTAAAATATGAATAACAAAGAGCAATGAGCCCTTTCCCACCTCCTCCCCAACCTCAAACAGGGCCCAAACCCAGAAAGGCCCCACACCTGCTCCTTGTTGGCCTGACCCCTGCTGTGTCCTGGCTCCTGTCCTCAGGCTCACCTGCTCTGGCTTTGATACTCTTACGGCAGCAAAGGATGCTTTATTTGTTCTATCCAGGCCCCTTCTCCTCCACCACTGCCCAGGCACCAGGCGCCAGGCGCCAGGCACATGCACCGTCTGCCATAACTACAGTCTTCTAGATTTTCTCTCCCAGCCTCAACAGAACTGTACAGAGAGGGGGCTTCACAAACCTAGCAAATCCTGTTCTACTATAAACTTTATTGAATGTTTTAAAAGTATTAACTTTTTATTTTCTTTGCAAAGTTGCTTATGTAGAATCCAAAGAAAAGACTTCCGCGGCTAGCCACGAAAAGAGTGTAGCTGGAAAAGGCCAGCCAGTCCCAAGACAATTCTAACCCTGATAACACAAGACGGCATTATACTCACTGCTCATAAACTCAAACATACTGGAATTCCAAAGTTGATCTCACTCCGGAATAGATTCTTTCTTTAAAAAGTTATAAGAGAGATAGAGAGTAGCTACAGTATCAAATGTCATGGTTTAACTTTTGGATGGAATCTTTATTCCTTATGTCACCGTTATTAAGGGAGAAGTGGGGGAAGTCATGGTTTTCATCACTGTAGGCCTCTGAACTCCCTATAATTAGTTTAACAACTTTTAGGCTGAGGCAATTATGACCTCCAAAGCAGGTGACCCAGTGAGCCTGATTTTAAATAATTACCAGATGGATCTTTAGGGATCTACATAGCTCATAGCTCCCCTTTTGCTCATACAAAATATTTCATAGAATATAAGTCTATAGCTGTTTCTGGATAAACTGGTACCCTATGAAGTTGGGGAGAACAGGGAATCTGTTCTCCACCTCTATAAAGAGCCAAAGGCATCCACAGTCTTAAAAAGTCAAGGTGAAGCAGGACCACAACTAGCATTTATCTTGAGGATTACAGACATTTAATAACACATATCCTATTGATAAGATGATATATATTATTAAAGATAACTATAGTCTTTAAATGCATGCTTGAAAACCCAGCCCTGAATAAATTTGTATTCAGAAATATGAGACCTTAAAAAAGGTTTCTATTCCTGATAATTTCATGAATACCACGGACTTCTTTCTCTTATAGAAATATTAAGTTATATTAACAGGGGAAAGAGTGTAGCAAAAATTAAATTTTTAAAAGAATATTCTACCCAATCTGCCATCTTATCCTGAAACTAGAGACTGGAGAAATACACATTTGTCTCAGATTCAGCCTTTGTCCCTTGCCTCTCTCTTACCTTGGTTCACTCCACTGTGGGACAGAAACCATGTTTCATTTACCTCTGTATACCACATTTTCTGTGTATATTAGATGGTTATTAAATTATAAAATTGTAGCATTCAAAAGATATTATATGACTGATTTGTTTATTTGATAAAATGTTGAAGAACTGTCATCAAATAAGTGTTTCAGAGAAGCAAAATAAGATACTTAAAGCGCTTTTCAACTTTTTTTTTTTTTTTTTTTTTTTTGAGACGAAGTCTTTCTGTCACCCAAGTTGGAGTGCAGTGGCGTGATCTCAGCTGACTGCAACCTCTGCTTCCCAGGTTCAAGTGATTATCCTGCCTAAGCCTCCTGAATTGCAGAGATTACAGGCCCATGCCACCATGTCCAGCTAATTTTTGCATTTTTAGTAGAGACAGGGTTTCACCATGTTGGTCAGGCTGGTCTTGAACACCTGATCTCATGTTCCACCCACCTTGGCCTTTTTCAGCTTTTTTTTTTTTTAACACACAACTACTACAGTTTGAATGTGTGTCTGTGTGTTCTCCAAAATTCATGTTTAAACTTAATCCCCATTGCAGTAGTATTAAGAGGTGAGGCCTTTGGGGGAAGTGATTAAGTCATGAGGTCTTCACCCTCATCAATAGAATAGTGCCTTCATATATACCATGGAATACTATGCAGCCATCAAAAATGATGAGTTCGTGTCCTTTGTAGGGACATGGATGAACCTGGAAACCATCATTCTCAGCAAACTGACACAAGAGGATAAAATCAAACACCGCATGTTCTCACTCATAGGTGGGTGTTGAACAATGAGAACACATGGACACAGGGAGGGGGGCACGACACACTGGGGTCTGTTGGGGGGAAATAAGGGGGGGACAGTGGGGAGTGGGGAGTTGGGGTGAGATAGCATGGGGAGAAATGCCAGATATAGAGACTGGAGAAACACACATTTGTCTCAGATGGGGAAGAAGGCAGCAAATCACACTGCCACGAGTGTATCTATGCAACAATCTTGCATGTTCTTCACATGTACCCCAAAACCTAAAATGCAATTAAAAAAAAAAATCTTTGCCAAAAAAAAAATAGATTAGTGCCTTATAAAAGGACTGAAGAGAACTAGCATATGTCCTTTTTGCCCTTCCACATTCCACCATGTGAGGACATAGCATTGCTTTTTCTGCCATGTGAGGACACAGCAAGAAGGCCCTCATAAGACACTGGCTGCCGGCACTTTGCTCTTGGACTGCCCAGCCTTCAGAACTTCAAGAAATAAATTTATTTTATTCATATCACCCAATCTGATATTTTGTTATAGAAGCACAATGGACAACAGTAAGAAATACATTTTATATCATAATCCATCATATACATATAAACATACACATATATTTTTCTGAAACAAAAGTTATACAAAAAAACCAACTTATCCTCCATATACCTGATGCTTTGGTTATTTTCTATTCTGTTTCTTGTTTTATAATGCTGCTCACAACCCACTAGAAAATTTCATACCTTCCAATGGTTTGTGATCCACAATATGAAAAATAGTGATTTAGAGATCTACCTTCTGAGAGCAAATATGGAAGCAAACAATAAATAAACTGAAAAAGAGTTTTTAAATAATGATTACTTACTTGGATACAGCATAAACAACATTGAATGGCATCTGCTGAAAAAATGGAAGAAAAGGCCTGGGAGATAAAGGAAAACAAATATGTGTGGGACATTTGCAATGAATACACTCTAAGCTTTCTTCCAACTCTCATATTTGTCCCTTAAAAATTAATGAGCTTAAATATCCCATATATTAGTGTTACTGAAACTTTTGTATATACAAAATCACCAGGGTATGGAGAGGTTCATATCTAAAATGCAAATTCCCAGGTCTGGCCCACGAGATTCAGTACATACAGGGTAGGGCCAATGAATGTGCCTTCTTAATAAACACTCCAGTACTTTCTCTTCAGACAGTAAACAAGTCACACTTGAAGAAGCCACACTTTAAGCCCTGTACTTGGGCTTCAGCTGGCCATTAGTTCCCAGCAACTTCTCAAGTTCTTGAGACATTCTGAAATTCACGATGATTTAATCTAAAGCCTCCTCCTAAAAGCTAAGAGTTGTATACTTAACTGTATACTACAGTTAAGGATTTAACATTTCTCTGAAAAAAGTCAGCATCACAAAATTTCCATAAGGAAGCTCATAAATAATAATGCAGATTAGAAATTTACTTTCTCAAGGAGGCTTATGCAGATGCGGTATCAAGACTATTTTTTCTAACTCCAGTAAGATGTACAAGGAAATCCCCATCTTATTTTAATTTGAGTATATGATTATCACATGAGTATAAATCACAAATGAAATAAAATGACTCTTTTGGCCATGTTGGTTTGGGCTAGATTCACACAAAGAGAACAAATGTTATCCATTTGAACACAACAGTTTCCCCTTCACTGTGACTTCATGATATCTCTACTGTGTCTCATTCATTTGATGACTTCATTTCAAATGTTTTCAAATACATAATCTTTTTTTTTTTCCTAAAGACAGGGTTTCACCATGTTGGTCAGGCTGGTCTTGAACTCCCAACCTCAGGTGATCCGCCCGCCTTGGCCTCCAAAGTGCTTGGATTATAGGTGTGAGCCACCATGCCCGGCTGAATACATAATTTTAATTGCAATCACTATCTCTGAAGTCAGGCAGGCTTAGTTTGAACCCCAGATCTACCTCTTGCTAGCTTTTATGACCTTGAGCAATTTATTTATCCTCTCTCGGTCTCTGTTCCATTACTGGTAAAACAGGGATTATATATATCTTATCCTACATTTCTGTTGTAAAGATTAGATGAGATACATGTGAAGCATTTAAAACAGTCTGGCACATTGCATGCACTGAAAATGATAGCTGGTATTATTATCACAGAGTTTCTCTAATAATATTAGGGTTCAAATGTTCATTAGTAATTATATTCTACCTTTCAAAGTATTTATAGCGATTCTTTCCAGTAACTTCGGGATCTTCATAAACTTCTCTAGGCATCTGAAAAGAATCGTCAGTTCTAAAATGAAGCAAGAAAACATTATTCAATTCTAAAATATTTCCACATATAATTTCTATTTAATATTTCTGCGTGTATAAAGTAGGAGCTACACAGAGTACCCCATACTGAGAGTGAAGTCTTCCATAACAAGCATTTGACTGTCATACAACTCAGAGTATATATGATTCTTCCCCTGCCCTGAGCCAGGAGACCAGGAACTAGTCAGAGGGAGCAAGAGTTGAGAAAAGAGTGGATTTATAAAATCCCACATGCCAAAATGGCCAATTTTAATTAAAAGCACATGAGAATAACAAAATATTAAAAGACAATTTTTCTACAACCAGGCTAAAAGGCTTTATTATTTTTAATTTACTAAGTGTAAACTTGTAAGTAATTAAAAGAATAAAGAATTTGACTTAATCCTTGATGGTGCTTTGGCTGCAAGTCTCCAAAAAAATATTTTAGATATTGGCAGAAAAGAGCACTTTCAGTTGCTTAGTTGGATACCAAGCAACAACAAACTCAGTCATCCCTACCTTTGGTGACAAGTTGTCATTTTATATATATTATATATAATATATATTATATACATATTATATATAATATATATTGTGTATATAATATACATGTATTATATATATAAACCAGGCTTGCTTCAGCCAAAAGAAGTTTAGAAAAAAAATTTGGCCTAGGTGTAACATCACAACTGAACTTTTTAAATCACATATGGTAAATGAATAAAAATAAATGTTTTAAATGCATTTATTTTAAGGCCCTGGAGCCACCTAACACTTGCCTGGTGAGCTGCCGGAGGGCTTCTCTGTGTCTCTCCTCATGTCCCTTCCATTCCCGACTGATAAATGGTGGGACAGGATCTGATTTGCTCCAATACAGAGAATATCTTGGATAATGGATGAGGTTACTGAACATGGTCTTAAACCTGGGAACTTTTTTCTAATGTTAGGGAAGGGAGGCAAAGGACAAAATTATACCATCAGCTTTCCTAAAGCATTTTAATTACAATGTAAACCCTTTTTAAAAAGATACAAAACAATATGTATAGCATAAGAAGAGGGGTTATTGCTATATGCACAGAGTATCTGTAAATAGATGCCCAAGAAACAGATGACACTGGCTGTTTATGTGGAGGGGGTGGGGGTAGGGCTAGAATTTACTTCATACTGTATATGCTTTTGTACTGGTTGAATTATTTTAACATGGGCATATATTACTATATCTATCCCATTGAAATAAATTAGTTTATGGGTTCTCTATTCATTATTAGTGACTTCATCCTCACAATGAGCCACAAGTATTAAGATGCTTTGACCCCTAGTGATCTTAGCAAAGTAATTTCTGCAGAACCTAAAATCCAGTAAAGATCTGGTGATTCGTCAATCTGATCAACGCAGTTAAGCAAACTAAATGGTTCAGGTTCATTACGTAGCCTTGGTTGATAAATAAGACATACCAGTCTGCTGCGAATCAGGGTGGCTTGGATATTTGCCTGTGTGTGGTCCTTCTCACTTGACACAATAAACAATGGGTCTGAAAAATAACAATCAAGTAGCGTAACAAATAGAACACATCTACCCCTCGGCTGAGAAAAATGGCAAACTAATGTAATCTCTTAATTGGAAAACAAATTTAAAAGTTTACATATTGCCCGACATTGCAGCAGCTCACACTCTGTTGTGCATGTGGCCCTGTTACTCTACCACTTCTACAAGTGGCAGTTGTCAAGATTTTTCTTTTCTGAGTATTCTAAGTCAGCTTACGGAAGTGGGACGCAAAAAGAAAGCCTAGCATGTTTTCAAGTACTATACCCTAAACACACTTTCTTCTCTCCTATGAACGAAACTCCTTCTGAGCCTGGGTAGCCCAAAAAATTCTTCAAGAGGAAAGACCTTGTATATATGCTCTATGCCAATCTGCAAGTGAAAGGAACAATACATGTATATACTAGCTCCCATATTTGGTGCACTGGAAAGATGCAAACCATATGACATCTCAGAATTGGTGAACATGGTTAAAAAAAAGATCAGCAATCTTCAGAATTCATCCCTTAAGTTTATAAGTTTGCTGATGATGGGACTATTATTTTTACAAAGTCCAGCAAAATATTGCCCTGGTGTTATAAGTATCTGTTTATCAGGTATATCTTTAGAGTGACAAGGAGTATTCATGGTTGATTATACTGTACCATCTTTTACAATCAATTTATTTGCCATTAAATTAGCAAGCAGCCTTCACATACACTTGATTTCCCAAGTAGACTTCTCCCTGGGGAGGCAAATACTCTGACCAGCTAGTCTAGATAACATGGTAACACATATAGAATTAATAAATTGGGAATTGTGATTTAGAAACAGTTCTCTTTTGAATTTGGATAACGCGTGTCAATTTCTAAAACCTAATAATTCATTAGTTGCCCAACAAATATGATTTACTGAATGAAGACACTGGATATTCCCACCAAGGCTGAAAAGCTGCAAGAGGTTTTTGCTCCTTCATTCAACACATGTTTATTGACTGGCTACTATATCTAAGTGCTTAGAATACATCAACAAAAAGACAAAAATATTTGACTTCGTGAGAGACAATAAACAACATAATAAACTAGCAAATTACACATTAGAATTTGAGAGCTGTTTCTTCTAAAAAAGAAATCGGGTAAGGGAAATTGGGTTGCAATTTTAACTAGGGTGGTCAGGGCAGGCTTCACTGAGAAGGTGGCATGTAAGGAGACTTGAAGGTGAGGGAGTTAGCTAGATAGATATCTGAAGAACATTTTAGGATGGGGGCATGCCTGATACATCTGAAGAACAGCAAAGGCCCTAGGATGGGAACAATAGTAAAGAAACCAGGAGGAATGAGGCAGAATGAAGGAGGGAAGATAGAGTAAAGGCTGGAGAAGTGAACTGGGGACAATCATACAGGGCTTCATGGAGAAGGGTAAAAGAGCCTGGAAAGGTGGTCATCTTTGTACCACCACAGTTCTGTCAAAGTGGAAACCTGGCCCAAGGCCAGTCAACTCATTGGCCAGCCAACAATCAATCTTAAATTTCTAACTTAAATTTGCAGCTACAACACACAGACTCTATACAATTGGTGGTGAGCTTTAGCGTTAATTCATCCAGAAGCATGCCACCCTAGTCCCTGTCATAGTAAGAGAAATTCATACACAAGAGGCTTTCTGTCATATGGAAGAAGAAAGCATAGTGATGTGTTGCTTAATGATGGGGATACATTCTTAGAAACGAGTCACGAAGTGAGTTTATCATTATGTAAATATCAGAGAGTACTTAACATAAACCTAGATGGTACAGCCTACTCCACACTGAGGCTATATGGTATAGCCCAGGCATCCCCAAACTTTTCACACAGGGGGCCAGTTCACTGTCCCTCAGACCGTTGGAGGGCCGCCACAAACTGTGCTCCTCGCACTGACCACCAATGAAAGAGGTGCCCCTTCCTGAAGTGTGGTGGGGGGGCTGGATAAATGGCCTCAGGGGGCTGCATGTGGCCCGCGGGCAGGCCGTAGTTTGGGGACGCCTGGTATAGCCTATTGCTCCTAGGCTACAAACCCATACAGCATGTTATTGTACTGAATACTGTAGACAATTGTAACACAATGGTATTTGTTTATCTAAACGTAGAAAAAGTAATGCATTTCACTACAATGTTGTGACAGCTACAATGTCACTAGGTAATAGGAGTTTTTCAGCTTCATTATAATCTTATGGGACCACCATCACATATGTAGTCCTCTGTTGACCAAAATATCATTACCTGGGGCTTGAGTATCCATAGAAAGAAGGCTAGAGTTGCCAGAGAAAATACAGGATGTCCAGTTAAATTTAAATTCAGATAGGCAATGAATATTTTTTTTGTATAAATATGTCCCAAAATATTTCATAGGACATAAATTTATACTAAAGTATTATTATTTATCTGAAATTCAAGTTTAACTGTGCATCTTGCATTTTTATTCGCTATATATGGAAACCCTAACAAGGTGAAAGATCATAAGGTCAAAGAAAGAATGAAGGAGAACACAGCATCTTAGTTCTGATCTTTCCCATCCAGGTTCTCATCTGCCCTGGTTATACTTCACTTCCTGTCCATGAATAGCGGTGGGATTGTTTTATAACAATCCAAACTTTCATTTGATCTACTCTGAGTGAGTTTCTGTTCTTAACAAGGGACATGGAAACATATAGCAAATCCTCTGCAAAAGAGACACTAAGGCATCAAAGAAACAGGTAGCTTAATAAAACTTTGGGGAGATGTTTGTTCCCATTCTCAAATTACCTGTGGAAAAAAAAAAAAAAAGCATGGTGATGTGTTTACAGGAGCTAACTTGATTTACTTCTAACCAAGAGTGAATACAGAAAACTACTGGCCAGAATACGTCAGCAATCATTACACAGCCTCTATCTAGAAACGTGTGCCCTAGAGATACCCACACAAAGGAGACCCTGGGATTCCCAGAGGCAACGCCACATTGTTGAAAGCAATGCAGGGTTACGGTGAAAAACCTGGGATTACAGACAGCAAAATTGGAAGAAAAAAAAAAAAAAATCATGCTTAGCTGGTTACAATTCTTGCAACGGCAAATTCAATAAACATTTATTTGTTGAAGCACCTAGTATACGTATCAGCACTAGAATAGGCGTTCAGAAAGCTACAAAAATGTATACTACAGGAACTTAAGGAACTCAAGAAGCCTGGAGAGAGAACAGAAAATGGACAACCAAGCCGTTAAAATAAACTGGGGCTTTATTGGCCCAAGAGGAGCCAGCGGACCTAGCCTATAAATACTGCTTTGACGAGTAAGTTAAAAGAAAAATAAAAACTAAAAACAAACGTGAGATAATCTGGCACTTCTCTTCGACAAACTTGGAGTTGTTCAGAGAGTGGGAGAGAAAAGATCACGTTCGCCGGGCATTTTATGCAGGAACGTTGAGTGAACATGGGGGTCTACAAACCGTTGAATACTTTTCTGGACACCAAAACGCCAGGAATGGGATTCAGAAAGCTCGCCCCCTGAAGTGGGGCGCACCTGCGCCTTCCCGTGCACGCGCACGCCCGACCCTACCCCGAGCGCAGCCCCCGGAGGGCTCGGAGCTGCCCCCACCCGACCCGTGACAACCGCGGGCAAGAGTTCCGTCCAGAGGGTGGTCTTTCGGTCGCCACAACCCTGGCCGGGTCCCACCACCTGGGAGCCCACCCGGCCCAAGAGTCGACGGATGAGAAGGAAGGTCAGGGGAGGCCCTTACCGTACAGAAAATCATACGGTCGATTGGAGGAGACGTGGCTCCCGGCCCGCGACCTCTCCCGGTACTGGGTTTGGGACACCTGCGGCTGGGCCGCGGAATCCTGCATGGTTACTGCGTGTTTCATGGTGCGGCGTCTTTCGTTTGGCCCCCTGGGGACGAGCACGTCAGACGCGGTTGCTGCGTGCACGTCGCTATGGTAACCGCCGCAGGCGCAGGCGCAGGCTCAGGCGCAGGCGCGCAGGGGTAAGGGGCGGGGCACGGAGGAGGGCGGAGGGCGGAGGGCGGAGGGCGGAGGGCGGAGGGCGGAGGGCGGAGGGCGGAGGGCGGAGGGCGGAGGGCGGAGGGCGGAGGGCGGAGGGCGGAGGGCGGAGGGCGGAGGGCGGAGGGCGGAGGGCGGAGGGCGGAGGGCGGAGGGCGGAGGGCGGAGGGCGGAGGGCGGAGGGCGGAGGGCGGAGGGCGGAGGGCGGAGGGCGGAGGGCGGAGGGCGGAGGGCGGAGGGCGGAGGGCGGGGGCCTGGGAGGAAAGAGCGACCCTCCGTCTCAAAAAAGAAAAAAAGAAAGAAAAAGACTTTTCCTCACTTATCAAATAAACTACCTAAGGTAGTCAATAGCCAGCTGCCTCCATAAACACATCTGAAGACACTATTACCTTGATTTTTTTAAAAACGCTGAAATTTTACTGATTCGCTTATTTATCATATCACCTCCCACTAAGCTCTGTGAGACCAGAGACCTCAAATGCCTTGTTCATCCTGAATTCATTCATATCTCTTAGGCCAGTAAAACCGCCTTTGCAAAAAATTGTAACTAAGAAAATTAACGACTGAGAAAAATCTGACATGGCTAACTCCATCTTGTCTCTAGTTTCACAGGTTGGCTGTCTTTGCTCATTCTGGGGTATGGGCCAAGCTAACTTTAGGAGAAATTTAGTTTACAGTTTGTTTTGTTTTGTTTTGAGACAGAGTCTCGCTCTGTTGCCCAGGTGGGGGTGCAGTGGTACAATCTTGGCTCACTGCAACCTCTGCCTCCCGGATTCAAGCTATTCTTCTGCCTCAGCCTCCGAGTAGCTGGGATTACAGACGCCCACCACAATGCCCAGCTAATACTTCGTATTTTTTTTTCTTTTTCTTTTCTTTCTTTTTTTTTTTTGAGACAGAGTCTCACTCTGTTGTCCAGGCTGCAGTGCAGTGGTGCAATCTCGGCTCACTGCAATCTCTGCCTCCCAAGTTCAAGCAATTCTCTGCCTCAGCCTCCTGAGTAGCTGGGATTACAGACGTCCGCCACCATGCCCGGCTAATTTTTGTATTTTTAGTAGAGACAGGGTTTCACCATCTTGGCCTGGCTGGTCTTGAACTCCTGACCTTGTGATCTACACACCTCCGTCTATCAAAGTGCTGGGATTATAGGCGTGAGCCACTGCGCCCGGTCAATTTTTTGTATTTTTTAGTAAAGACAGGGTTTTGCCATGTTGGCCAGGCTGGTCTTGAACTCCTGACCTCAGGTGATCCATCTGCCTTGGCCTCCCAAAATGCTGGGATTACAGGCATGAGCCATTGTGCCTGGCCTAGTTTATAGTTTAAATGATAATAGCCCCTCCTAAAAACTAAACAGTTTTTATAAAATGAGTGAAAGGCCACAAAATTAGGATGAGAGGGGCCTGAATTATAAATAATTACCAACGATTATTTCAGAGGTCATAAGATTTCCAACTTCCCCAACGACTCTTGAAGATGACAGCACTATTTTAGAATCTAAGATTGACCTTTTGAGGCTCTTTTTAGGCTTTTGCATTTCTGAAAACTAGTGGCCCCACCTGGACGTGCCAAAATGTCCTGTGGCCCCCATCTAGGAAATGACTCAGCCCAAGAGAACAGCTTCGATTCCCTATGATTTCATCTCCAAACCAACCAATTAGCATGCCATGTCCCTACCCTAACCCCTTGCCCTCAACACTATCTCTGTAAAATACCTAACCTCCAAGCATTTGGGGAGATTGATTTGAGTAATAACAAAACTCCAGTCTCGTACAGCTGGCTGTGGGTGAATTAAACTCTTTCTCTATTGCAATTCCCCTATCTTTATAAATCGATTCTGTCTAGGCAGTGGGCAAGAGAATCCACTGAGTAGATTACACAAGCACCTGGTACAAAGCAGGTGCTAAAGTAAAATACATTTGAATGAATTAGTCATCTATGTACCTGTCTGCCATCAGTGACCTTCATTTCTGTCTCATTGCCAATTTCGTACCTTCACAATCTTTAAGATATTCAATTTCAAATGACCAAACATCAACTAGTCAAACTCAATACATCCTGAGGAAAACTAACACTTTCATATACTGCAGAAACTTTAATAGAGTGATTAACTACATGAACATTAGAATCGGATTTCCTAGGATTGAATATTGGTTCTAAAACAGTTTGGATGATCTTCAGCACTTACTTAATATCCATGAGCATCAGTTTCCAAATCACTAAAATGAGAATAAACAGCAATAATATTAGAGAAAACTATGGGAGGCAACACCTACAAAGGACTTAGGACAGAGTCTGGTAGAGAGCAAGTGCCCAATAATTGTTATAATACTATCTATCTTCATAAGTCCAACTGTCTTCCCAATTTCTCCCATTTCTGTCCTTGTGCATCATGAGTTTCCCATTTACCTAGAACTACATCTGATATTCATCTTAAAATATGTAAGAATACAAAGGGCAAATGTAGGGCTAAATAATAGGCATGACTGTTAAAGATATAATTCATATACTTAAACACATATTTAGTTACATTTCACTACTAAATGTAACTGAATAGCATTTAGTAGCTAAATGTAAGTAAACATGTGTTTAAGTATATACATTTGGTAGCCAAATGCTATTCAGTTACATTTAGTCCCAAAATGTAACTGCTATGTAACTAACAGTTACATCCTATAAGTTACTATGTAGTAAATGTTATATAGTAACATTTACTACTACATGACATAGTAGTTACATTTCGCATCTAAATGCTACTACATCAGCATTTGGTACTTTTGGAAAGCATATCAGTTCAATCAGAAAAACAAAAACAAATGTTATTAGAAAACAAAATTTCCAGTTTAAGCTGGCTCATTAGGTAAAATTTTAAATTTACCAGTTAGTTTAACATATACTTAGCATTTAGGCCAGGTGTGGTTGCTCATGCCTATAATCCCAGCACTTTGGGAGGCTGAGGCAAGAGGATCACTTGAAGCCAGGAGGGAGTTTGAGACGACGCTGGGTAACATGGTGAGATCGTCTCTCCACAGTAGCAGCAACAACAAAATTAGCTGGGTGTGGTGTCACGCACCTGTAGTCCTAGCTACTCAGGTGGCTGAGATGGGAGAATAGTTTGAGCCCAGGAGTTTGAGGCTGCAGTTAGCATTTGATTTTGATTAGCGTTTTGCAACTTATTTGAGTGTGTTCTGAATTTTGGTTGATGGTCTCACAGCTGTAAAATGGAAGAAATTCTTCCCAACCAGGCGCTAAAGACAAAAATACACAGGCTTGGTCTCATTTATTTTAGATAGTTCACAAACTTTTATTCATTTGTGTGTATGTTCCACACAGTCTCTTATTAGCTTTTTATCTTTTATCAATAACAAATATAGAGAGAGATGAATCTCCAAGCAAAAAAGGGTTTATTCTGGAATAAACAAAGAAATAGGGTTGCAATCTGGTACACCTGCATAGACCAGGGTGGTCTCTGATATGTGGTAGAATGAAAAAATGGTTGAGGTTTTATTGGAAAAGGAGAAAGATTATGTGGGTTGTTATGAAAGAAAGCTCATTGGTGCTTGCAACATTTTTTTTGTAGGAGCTGGTGAGCTCTGATTGTCAGTGGCCGCAAGTCCTAGGTTAAACTAGTTTTAAAGTCATGGTGGCTGTTTCCTTGTAAAACTAGTTGTCAAACTGAAATAGCTATTTCATTGAATTGGGCTTGCTGGACCGTTTCTGAAACAGACTTTTGAGACCTGAGTTTTGTTTTTGTATTTGTTTTTTCTCTATGGCTCGCCACTCTAAATTTTAGTTGAGTATGACAGAAATGACTCCATTTAGATAATCAGTTTTCACATTCCCCCCACCCACTTTATTTTATTTATTTTTATATATATTTTTTGAGATATAGTCTTGCCCTGTTGCCCAGTCTGGAGGACAGTGGCTCCATCTCCACACGCTGCAACCTCCGCCTTCCAGGCTCAAGCAATTCTTGTGCCTCGGCCTCTGGAGTAGCTGGGATTACAGACACATGCAACCACAACCGGCTAATTTTTGTATTTTTAGTAGAAACGGGGTTTCACCATGTTCCCCAGGCTGGTCTCGAACTCCTGACCTCAAATGATGTATCCACCTCAGCCTCTCAAAGTGCTGAGGTTAAAGGCGTGAGCCGCCGCACCCCATTTCCCTTTTCTGACCAAAGTTTTTCTCTGAAAGCGTCACTGGTCAACTGTCCTTGAAATTAGGCTTGATCATCCCTCAGTGCTGGGAGGTGCTTGTCCTAGTTGTTCTGATCCTACACTAGAGGGAAAATACGAGTCAATAGGAGTCAGCAGAGGAGGCCCAGGCCACATTTGGGCAACAAAGGGGCCAGGAGGAAAGACCTTTACAGGGTAGGTCCACCTGGAATTGGGTTCCAGCTTATTAGTCATGCAGGCATTAGCAATTGTCTGGAAGCACTGGACTAACATTATCCTGTTGGGAAAGCAGGCCTTACAGAGATTAGACCGCTAACAAGAATGTAACTTAACTTTGGTAATGTCAAGAAGAAGAGCAATAGTATAATGAATTCAGTTTGAAAAATAGCTCTAAACCATGAACATTATTTTGAAGATAAGTCACGAAACAGATTGAAAAGTCCAGATGCATTGGGTGGAACTTTCTGGAGCCAGGTGGCATGTTCCTTTATCTTTCATAATTGTGTTTTCTACTTTCATGTGCAGCTAGTGGAAGCAATTGCACAAATACCACCTCATTCAGCTACTAAGCAATCTAGAGCAATCCTGTTAACTGTGAGTGGTTATAGATAATGAGACAACCACTCATTTAGATAATGAGATATCTAAAACCACTTTAGCAAGTGGCTTTGGCTGTGAAGTCAGCTGGAGCTCTGATAGGGATAAAATTTTCACTATTATTTCTAAGGTATTAACCCCAATCCAAAGGAAGAAAGATCTAACAACTGAGGC